AAATGTAGGATACAGGGAGCCCTTGTATCCTGGATTTACCTGTATTCAATGTGGGCTGCTGCTTCAGTGTTTCATTTTCCTATGCTTTTCCCCTTTTGACTGCACTGTTTCATTTAGGTTCGTAATCAATGTTGTTATGGTCAAGCCTGCTTTTGGAGATTATCATAGCTATGTAAGGTGTTCCAGTAAACGAAATGATATGGTGATGGTGTTATACTTTTAGCTCCATGAAGTGAAGAATAGTGAGTTCAGCATTAAGGAGTCTGACCAAGGGGATTCCCACCAAGAATATCTCCCGTCATTTTCGCTCTATTGCTTCTATAAAATATAATAAGAATTTGCCCACAAAGCTAATGTTTCTATGGTTAATGTTGGTGGTAGTGCAAGTTTTCCTAACCTTACCATTCTTTCGTCTTTTGCGAATTTCTATCATCAAGTTTTCTAGATTATTTTATAACAAAGTGCTTGTACCTTTGCTCCGTTAGAAATTCAAAATTATTGACTTTACATGTGCTCATTGCGTTTCTCTATTTTCCTTCTTCTTTTCCTCGTTTGACTTTGGCTGTTTGGTTTAGGTTCCTGATCGGTGTGGTTATGATCAAGCATGCTTTTGGAGATTATCTTTGTCACCTTTAATCTTGTCATCTGTAAACAAAAGAGTTTCTAATACTCTGCACACAAATTTTCTTTTGTTGTAGATGGATGATTGTGGTTGCGATGAAGTTCATTTGTCCATCTCCATGAATTTTTATTGGGTATTTAGGACTCAAAGTATTTTATCTCCTCGCTCAAATCTGAAAAAGCAATGCTATTCAATATTTGTTACAAGGTTGTTTGAAAGTTGCTTATTGGGTGGTAGATTAGTACTGATTGTAACTGGGTTGATTTCTGCTTTTTAAAAACAGAAGTTACATAAAAAATTCTCAGATTGATGATTATATTATATAGATGGTTGTCAACATTTTTCTTTGTTCTCTTTTCGGTGTAGATGCTTAGCAACATTTGGGGATAGCACCAGCTTCTTGTTGGCCCTCGAGCGAAAGATTCAACTTCTCTAATCCATTTTTATTGGAGTTGGAGTGTTTGTATTAGAGTACTCTTCTTTGCAAGCAAACACCTCGACAAATGTTGTAGATTGCATATTGCCCTGTAGTAGTACTTATGTGAACCAAGATGAGTTCATTTTGGAACCGATTATGTTAGTAGAATGAGTCAGAAGTCAAGGTCAACTAGTTTTTGTACTCTTCGCCCCCGATGAGAAGAAACTTCAGCCTAAGTGCCTAACCTAATCAAACCCTTCCCACACGCAATTCAGCACCTAGGCGTATACTTTGGTTGGATCTCAAAGGTTCGAAAGTCTTTTAGGAAACTGCTAGTCAACAAAGCGTGCTAGACCAAATAAACAGCCAGTATTATGTTATATAATATGGGGAAGTGAAGGTGCTTGCCTTGGTAGGCGATGCTGTGAAATTTCTCAGCCATGGAAGTTATGAGTTCCTCCAGAGTTGTATGCCTGTTTTTTCCCATTTTTACGTATCTTTTTATTTCTGCTTTCACAACTGCTCGGTCGGACGAGCTGTTTCACTATTGCGCGCCCAATGCCAGTTTCGTCAAGAACGGCACTTACCAGGCCAATCTTAACCACCTCCTCTCCAACCTATCTTCCGACATCCAAAAGGGCTCCGGCTTTTACAACGTCTCCTATGGCCAAAACAACAATAAGGTCAATGCAATTGCCCTCTGCAGAGGAGATGTTGGGGCAGAGATCTGTAGGAGCTGCATCACTAACTCTACCAAGGAACTGAAAAAGGAATGTCCTACGCAGAAGGCGGCAATTGTTTGGCACGATGAGTGTATGTTAAGGTACTCCAACCGTTCAATATTTGGAAAAATGCGAACAGAGCCTTATGAATGCATGGCAAACAACGAGAACGCCTCCGACACGAATCAGTTCTATCAGGGAGTGACAACTTTGCTAGATGACCTGAGATCTCGGGCGGCCTCGGGTGGTACTCGGCTTAAGTTTGCAATAGGCCTTGGAAATGTTTCACACTCAGTAACAGTATATGCGCTTGTGCAATGCACTCCTGATTTATCTAAGGCCGAATGCAGCAATTGCCTGTCTAATGTTACTGCTTTAATTCCACAATGCAGTCAAGGGAGAAAGGGAGGCAGAATACTCACACCCAGCTGTAATTTTAGGTACGAGCAATATCTCTTCTACAATACAACAGCTAATGTGAAACCAATATCAATATCACTGCCACCAGCATCACCACCGTCAATATCACCGGCACCATCAATATCACTAGCACCAGCATCACCACCATCACTGGCACCAGCATCATCGCCATCACTATCACCACCATCACCGCCATCGCCACCATTACCGCCAGCAACATCACCGGCACCAGCATCACCGGCACCACCACCACCACCACCACCACAATCACCATCCCCAAATTCCCCGCCAACACCCGAAGCTCCTCCGCCAGCCAGTACGGCCACCAGAAAGGGTAAGATAGCTTGATTTGTTATTAGTTGTCTACTCAGAAGCGTCTGTCGCATAATTACAAGCATTAACGGATTTATTTCTGAATTTTGCAGGGATGATGAGAAGCAGACTTCAGATTCTGATTGCAGTTGTAGGTTCATTGTTCAGTTTCCAGTACTTAGGTTTCTAAGCCAACAGCATCGGATTTATAAGGTTGGGGAGATGGTCTATTGATTAGTAGTAGAAGTACTAGAAATAGTAGCATGAGTACAATGATTTGCTCTGTATCTCCCTAAGAGAGATCGTTGTATTTATGATAGTGCTTTTATGGGAAAGAAATAAGATAGGTGCTTCGAATCACCTCAATTGTGTTTGATCCTCTAAATTATGTAATGATTCAAATTACATCAATACTTGATTGATCTCCAAATTATGCATTTCAATGATTCAACTACACTCAAGTCTTATTATTTGAATGAAAGAACCCAGAATGGATACTAGAATTGAAAACTCAAAATGGCTTCTTCTTCTTCTTTTCTTTTTTTTTTCATCCTCATCCTCATATTGCTAAGTTGAACATGAACTTGAAGCAAATATCTAGTGAAGGTGACAACAGAGAAGAAACTCATCAATCCATCACTTTAAATATTTGAATTAAAGAACAAGATGCAAAAACTAAAGATAGAAAGGATTTTACCATCAAGCCATCAATTATCCAGGCAGAATTTTATCGAGCCGAAGGCAGCGATTCTTACACCCCTACCAACCAATGCTAGACGAAAACTAGAAGATGTTAAACGCTGTAAAAATGATAATAAACAAAGCAGAATGACCAACCAATCATCACCAGAACCAGAACCCAAACTTTTACCTTGAAATTTGTACAATAACATCTCATGGCCAGCGAGGATAGAGTAAATCATACGGTAGCTTCATAGAAACTCAATAGTCAAGTCAGCTGAGCTCCATGCAGTATCTATCAGTCATCCACTACATTAACCAACTCATACTCCACAAGACCCAGATTGTTATCCTCTTTAACCATGATGTCAGAAGGATTAGTGACCTCTATGCGACCCCATCTATCAACTGCCAGCCTCATAGAACCCTTGAACATGTCAAAGAATTACAGTCGTGTCTGGCTTCATCAAGTCAACTGCAAAACAAATAGGCACCAACATTTTCATTAAATTGCATGACTTAGAGTAGCAACTTTTACAATAGGTCTACCATTCTCCCCTCCAATATACAGAGAAGATACAAAGATGAGCATTCATTTTGATAGAAGAATAGGCAATCTCGGACTCATTTTTTCTAGTCAAAGTTTTCACCATATAGTATCATATAATGGCTCCCAGACAGTATGCACAGGATCTGGCATGTTCATTGGATTAAAGATACCTATTTGAGACAATGGAATTTTTCACTGGTTTTAAATAATTAGAAACAATGACCAAAACGTAAAGCAATTAGAGATGCTTCAACATCTTGAACATGTAATGTCCAGGATTATTACTTGGATGAAAGTTTCACAGCTATGCCATTCAAATTATCAAAAAGAAGTAAAGCTAACACAGTAATGATGGTAGCAACACAAGGAAATGACAAGAGATAAATGCACTTGTAATTGTAAGGGGCGTACGACAATCAGCAATCAAAATAAGTCATAAATTTGATTCATGTAACCAAACCCACATGCTACAAACTGAAATTAGAGAATTCATAACAGTAGAAAAACTAATAATGCAATCAATTACAAAGTTAAGGTCCTAAATCATGATACTAGCAATCTAATTCTTCAGCATATTATTGTTTTCAATGAAATGGTATGTTTCTATCTCATAGTCTTGACTGCTGAATCCAATCCTGCAAGCAATTCAAGTTCATAATGGGAAAATATAAACAAAACACATCGTTCTCAGTCAAATCATCAAAACAGCCAAAATTGAGAATTGAAAACACCTCTTACCACAAAAGAATTGCATTCGCACAAAATCCAACAATCTTCACACTCAAATACGCACGACCAACATTGGAGCTAAGAAATGGAGAGAAAATATGCACTTCGGATCATAAGAACAGAACGGCTATAGATATGCTGATTAACCACATTAAAATAATTCAGAAGCAAATTTCAGAGTTTGTATACTGATCGCTGAGTAAAAAGAGTGTACTAAAGCAAAATGCGACCTTGATCGTTGCGAGCGGTGAAGAGGATGGTTCCAGTCTCGTCACCGACGAGGCACTCGGCGATGTGACTTTGCTGGGGCTGTTGGGAGGCAGCCTGACCCTTCTGCAGCACCATGTTAGAGGTCAAGACCTTGGCGATGAGGGTGTGGCCGTTGGTTCCTGGCTTTAACTGATCCACTTTGACGAAGACTGGCTTTCGCTTCTCCAGTTTCTTCAGCTCTTGTCCTTGTTGCTGGCGGTTAACCTGTCGCTTCTGCTGCCCGTTGGTTGCCATTGAATCCGGCGGAGAAGCCCCTCTTCTATGGTTATCTGTGTGCTGAAAGTAAAAAATTTTAAACTCCATTTGCATCATATTACCTGTGTTGTAACCAAGATCAACAAAAATAAAAAAACTAGCATATGGCATCGTAGCGCCCATGATATTGTATTGAGATTCTTCATTCATTTTTCGTTTGAGTTAAATGTAATGGTTAGTATATTAATTATTAAGTCCTTATCACTTTAACTAAAAAAGTTTATTTCTTCTCCACATTGATATACCTTACAAAGTTAAAAACTGTATCAAAATATTCTATTCATCGCCAACGATCCGGTCATTTCCTTTCCTGGGAAATAAGAGTTTCTGATTTCGGTTAATAAAATATACAGAAATAAAAAATAAAAAATGATTATTTTTTATTATATAATTAAAGTAAAAAAAATATTTTATTCATCAAAATTTCATCAATATTTTTTGTTAAACAATTTATAATTTGGGACAGAGAATTCCAACTCTGACCTAAGATACACCTTCACTGTAATTATAGATGTATCAAAATTTTAAAAGTTTTACCAACGAGAGGTTGGATCCAGTGGTGAGCGGCTTGTTCTATCTTAAGTAAAATCTTGAGTTCGAGGCTTTATGAATGCAACAATTCTTGCTAGGAGACTCACTTACCATTTTTAGGTGCGCGACGCAGGTCGGATCCGGATTAATCAGGGCGAAACCCCGGATACCGAGCAAGAAACCCAAAATAAAAAAATTTTATAAGTTTTTTTTTTTTTTTTTTTTAACCCCTTTTGTACATGGGCGGGTTCGAAACCCGCCGAGGGAGGGGGAAATGCACTTTGCAATGGCAAGTGCCATTGGGCCTTTAGGCCAGTGCAATTTTATAAGTTTTATTACTTATTACTACGAAGATGTCATGTGACCTGTAGAAATTACATTTCAATTATGGGAATTGATGATTAAAAGATTAAAAAAAGATAGTATCAATTACTTTGTATGACAAAAAGTTTAAAAAATATATAATAATTTATATATATATAAAGAACGGTAATATTTTTTTTAATAAAAGCATAACACTTTGAGTTTGAGTCTTTTTTTTTTTTTGCCTCTTTTGCTTGCCTCTTATTTTCCATAAAACGTAATAGCAACAATATTTCTTAACATAAAATTTTATAATAATCATATGACGCATAAGTGCATAATAATTATGAATTATAATAAATAAAAAAATTGATATTAATTATTTATATTTATTATTTAGTTATTTATTTTATAATTTAAACAGTAAATTTTACAATAGAAAACATTTAATTTATTTTTTAAATGATTATAATTTACGATACAGATAGAGAGATATTTACATAATATAAAAATTCAAATTTTAATACTAATTAAAATATTAAGTACATCAACCAATTTACCTACAAATCCTCGTGCAAATTTTGGTTTACGCTGAGAAAATATTATGTGAAAATTCTATTCTTTATATTAAAGAAATATAAGTCGTAATAAAATCAATAATATAATCAGACAAAAACAACTACATTAGAATATAAAAAAAAAGGTGAAAAATTAAAACCTGAAATATTTATGTAAATTATTATTACTTTTTATTTTTTTGTCTTATTACACAATGAAAATTAATTATTTTTTATTTTTTATATTACCACATTCATGTATTATACGACTCAAATTTAATATTTTTTTTTTTAAAAAAAATCATAAATTAATTAAGTGATTGACACTTAAATAGATTATTAGATAAAAAAATTATTTTACATGACAAATTATATACAATTTATCTTATAAAATTATTTAAATATTTTTAAATTTTATTTTATATTATTTTTTAAAAAATATTTAAATAATTTTACAAAATATACCACTGGTATAATCTATATTGTAAAACAATTTTTAGATCAGATAATGGTAGATACTATGTACTTGTATATTCCTACAAAAGCAGAGGATGAAGGAGACACGAACGTGTGAAGGCAAGAAGAAGGGGAAATCCGACATTTGCTCTACGTCACCACGTACTCCCACGCGCTAAAAAACGACACTTCTTTCTCTTCCCCATGTCTTAATTCAATTGTCCTGTCCGAAGCTTCCCCACAGATTATCAGTATTAATTACAAAAATTAAAAATAAAAATCTCTATATTTATCATCTTTCTTTCTCTCTCTCTGCAGAAGACCTGAGTTTCAAGTCTCAAGCTTTTTGAGATCAACCAGCTTAAATCAAAATACCCAGAACCAGAAAAGTAACGCAGTAGGAGAGCAAAACTAGAGATATTTTCTTCCTTGAAAATTGTACTGTAGCTTTTTTTTTTTGTAAATTGAAAGGTGAATTGGGATAGGGGGACCAGCTTCCTGGTTAGTATCTGATTCTCCAATGGATTCCGATTTCTGGACCCCCCGTCTCGCGGCTGCCAAGCGCCAATACACGATGCAGCACCATAACAACAGCTCTCATTTGGGTTTGTTTCGTTTTTTTGATTTCTTCGATCTGTTTCTTTCTTTCTTTTTTCTTCTTTCTCTTTAGATTTTCAGCTTATATATACTTTAGGATTTTTTTAAAAAAATTCTAATTTGATGTCAGATCGTTTGAGCATCGATGATTTCGAGGTAGACGACGAGATCCGACCCGATTTCCCATGCCCGTATTGTTACGAGGATTTCGACATCGCCTCTTTGTGTTCGCATCTCGAAGATGAGCACTCGTGCGAGTCAAGAGTTACGGTAAGAGAATTTCATTTCATGTTTTGATTTGTTACGAGTTTCCTTGTTATTGAGTCGGAAATTTTGTTGCTCATCTTTCTGATTCACTTCGTCATGGTGTGGTATCCGCCTTTTCTTTGTCTTTTTCCCATTGACTTGTTTGTATTGATTTTATTTATGTTAAAAAAAAAAAATTCTTTTCCTTTTGTGGAGTGGGTAGAGGAGGGAGAGGAATTTGTTTCTACTTTCCTTTTTGACAATTTCTTGCTAACTATAACATTCTTTCTGATCATATATGAGGAAAGACTGGGAAAAGCATACCTTTGGATTGGATTGAGAAGTGAATGATGTATTTTTGTTGGTTTTGGAATAACCCATTTGTGAATTGTGGCAATTAGGATATTGCAGCAAAAAATTGGAGATTGTTTGTTTGATGTTAACCTAGGCAATGTATGAACTTCATCATGAGTTAAGTTTGATGTGAAGAAGAGGATTTTTCAGTTGGTTATGGAGGAGCTTGGCTAGGAGATATTGTTGCTTTTTTTGGTGCAAGGAATTCTACTATTATCAATTGAAAGAGAACTGGCAACAGTAATATAAGAGTGATACTTGCAGCGCTAGGATCTAAGATATGCAATTTGTCAATGGAATTTTTCTTTTGGGGATAAAAAATGGGAGGGGATAGAAATCTAATTGTTTTTTGAAAACACAGTAGTTTAATCTCATCACTTGTGTTCTTTTCATCCCTACTTTAATTTCATTCATATGATTTGTAGTTACTGAATTAATGGGAAGGATGAGGAAAGCAGAAATAATTATAACTCTCTCTTGCAGGTTTGTCCCATTTGCTCTGTCAAAGTTTCCCGAGACATGCTGAATCATATAACACTGCAACATGGACATTTGTTCAAGATATCCTTAACAATGGAAATTTTTCTTTGCTTGGTCTTTTTCTTAGTAATGACTTGGATACATTATGCATGTCAAACCACTCAGATTGTGTGTATTGGCTGAATTGTCATCTAGGTTTCCCTTAACTGAAAGATTACTTGCAGAGACGTCATAGGTTACGTAGAGTTGCAATTCCTAACAGTCAAGCACTGTCTCTCCTTGGCCGTGATCTGCGTGAGGCTCATTTGCAAGTACTTCTAGGTGGAGGTGGTGGTGGTGGTGGTGGTAGTGGTGGATATAGGTCAAACAGTGCTAACGTGTCTTCTGCAGTTACTGATCCATTCCTTTCATCACTTATTTTGAATTTCCCTGGATCTGAAGCAGAAGAGATTTCAAAGTCTGTTGCATCAACTGTTGAAGACACCTCTTCAAAGAATGCAGCACCAGCCCATATGTGGAAATCAAGGTACTGTCTCTGGTTTTCTTTTTTATTATTTAGAGCAAACATGCATCTTCACCAATCTTTTCACATGATTCTTGGTACTTTAATTGCATCATTAATAAGAGTTAAGACACAGCAATTGGTTATTACTATGACATTGTTAATTCTGTAAACATATCCAAGGAGACTGTTTCAATTAGTGGAAATGCTATGACAAATAACAATGTAAATTCAGTCATCAACTTGGCTGTTGAGCCTTCAAGATTGTTCAAATTTCAAATTAAACTTACACCCATTCATGTTTGTTTTCCTTTCTATTCAATAAATTATTTGCGTCTTATTTCAAAATACTTGCTTAGAAGAGCATTCATTCTGCATCAAAGTATCTCTTCCATCTTTCCCTCGACAGCCATGTTTAGCCTGTACATATTTGAATACCAATTCCTCTATGTTATGTAATAGAAAAGAAGCCTATGCTGTTTTAGTAGCAGTATCTTTAAGCAACAATGGAATTTGTAAAACATTAAGTTTATATTTTAGCATCAGTTCACTTTGCTTTCTTTTCTTTTTTCCCTTTTTTGTTCTTACAGTTTCGATCCAAATTTGAGTTATGAAGAGCGAGAAAAGAGGATGAAGCAGGATACTGATAGAGCCGGTTTTATCCAGGATCTGCTTCTGTCAACTCTGCAAATCGACTAACAAAACGTGTAAAAATAATGGAATGAGTTAATCAAAATCTTGGAAGTACTTTTAGGTGGGATTCTAATGGTTATATGATGTTTGTGAACCTAATGCAGGTCTCATTGGAATGTTGAAGCGGCAATTGGTTGCTCCATTATAAGTTCCCCATCTGTAACTCATTTCTGAACCAGAAAACTACTGGAATTATGTAACTATCTAGTTTATGCTCAAGTTTAATGTATGAGGTGCTTAGCTGCTTGTTACATTACACCATCCAATGCAAAATCTGTGCCATTATATCTGTTGTTTCCAGCAGAAATGTACATGATCGAAGAGATGACTCGAAATTTTATCTGCTAATTTAGAAGAAGAAATGCTTGTTCTATGATTTTGGCCAAAATTTTTTATTTGTAGTCTGTACATTATTTTTTTTACATGCAATACTTGTAAAAAACTTTATTTTTAGTTAATATTTTTTATAATTTAAAACTCAAAAATTTTAAAAATTAACATTTAAATTCTTTAATTTGTTGATAATTTGAGATTTTTAATGAGTTTTAAATTATAAAAAATATTGATCAAAAGTAAAAATCATAAAGAATATTATTATAAAAAAATAATATGAAAAGTGCAAATAAAGAATTTGGTTTATAATTTTCTTCTTTATTTTCTTCAGAGAAATTACGGCCTACCTTTCATTTCTTCCATTTTACTTCTTAATCATATACCAAATTTTCTAGAAAATGGGTCCAAATTTTAATTGTGGGGCTCATGATCCAGGAGAAGAATATTGATAAAGCCGGTACCTGACAAGAATTGCACAACGA